TGGCGGTGGTGGTGGGGGCACTGCTGCTGATGGCGGTGGTGGTGGGGGCACTGTTGCTGCTGCTGCTGACGGTGGTGGTGGCACTGCTGCCAAAGGGGGTGGTGGGACTGACATAGGGAAGCGCCTGACAACGCAAAGAAAGAAAACAAAATCAGATAGCTACTTGAATCAGAGAGCACAAAAAAATTCTCCATTCAGGCACTTTGAGAACTCTACATGGCACAACACTCCACAAAGACATACAGGCTATCCTGATGCTTCCTCACTGACCGTCAGCTGGCCCGAATCATACGCCTTCTTTGTCCGGGGATCGCGGAGGACCTTGTAAGCGTGGATGATTTTCTGCATCCTGTTTTTCGTCTCATTGTTGTCGCCTGGATTTGCAACATCTGGATGGTGCTGCTGCGCAGCCTCACGGAAGGCTTTTGCGATATCTTTCGCCGTTGCAGAGAACTCCCTTCCAGTGAGACCAAGCAGCTTGTAGTACCCAAGTGGGTCTACGTTTTCCAGGTCCGTTCGCCGCCTGTTTTTGGCATCGATGTGCCGTGCATTTCGGGCCTCATCCCGTGCTGCCTCTTCCTTCACCCGCTGTTCGAACGCCTCTTTCTTGCGCGCCCGCTGTCGCAGCTCCTCACGGTACTCATATTCTGCGCGCTCCTCATCTTCTGGCGACCAGCGGTAGCCCTGCTGGTCAGATGCGAAGTACACCATGCCCGTCATCTTGAGCTCCGCCATTTGCCTCGCCTGCTCCCGCAGGAAACGCATCACAAGAAGATACCGCCGGACATGTAGTGACATCACCGCCGAGGCGATCGCGGCCGCAGTTGCAATGCCGGGGTCAATGACAGGAGCTGTGAGCAACAACGCAGCAGCACCAGAAAACGCCATCACGCTCAGTTTTGCCCTCTTAGTAACCTGCAGGACCGGTCCAACTACTTTCCCTGTCGCCCCACACACAAATGAGGGAAGCGGCGTGTTGCTAGCTCCTGTAGTAACGGTAAGCTTCATCATTGGCAAGAAGATGGGTCGCAGACGCACACTCTCCTTATAAACGCTAGTGAGGGTGATGTTGCTCTTCAGGAACGAGCCATGAAACTTCACCAGTTCCTGGTCGATACGATGAAGGACCATGCTACGGCTCAGGCGGGCGTCCACGACGGAAAGCGCTGTCACCGTTGACATCGCGAAAGGCACAACTTTAGGTGGCTGCTCCATTGCCTCCAGTTCTCTTAGTAATTCAAAGCGAGATATCAACATTGAGGGAACGTGCACACCCGCCACACAGCGCTCCAGTATTGAAAGCGGGTGAAGGTACGACGCGGAAACTTGATTAAAGACATGGTGCTCACCGAAAGGGTAGTGAAACTCGTAGTTCGGCCCCTCCACCCACACAAGGCACTGCTGCTGTGTCAGGAAAGCCGGATCCTTTTGGAGGACATCGGCACGGAAACTGCCGCTCGCCGCCGTTGTGGCAAGCCAAAACGGCATTAGATATCGATCAGCCTTATGAACTTCTACGGAGACTCCGTGGTGACGACACACCGCATCTACGGCTTCCGCCGCGCCTATATGAAAGGGAATACCATACGCTTTCTTGTCGATGCGCGTGTTGCCCTTCTCCAGGTAGTCCATTGAACGAGCAAACGCCGCGACACTTGTGTCGCCCGCGCCATTTGGTCCGTTCTCCTCGAATAGACCCATCATTGCACGCCGCTGGGTGAAATGTACGAGCGGTACGGCCTTTTGGGAGCTGAGTGACCGCAGTTGCAGCATAGGTCGTGGGCCAGCTCCCTTCCCGCCTAGTTGGGGGAAGTAAGAAAAAAAGAGAAAGAAAAAGAAAGAAGACGTGAATATGGCACTCTGATTTGAGATGTAACACAGCACCGTGTTTTATTCACAACCCGAAACTAGCATAGCCGCATCGAAATTATTCTTCTAGCTCTTGTAGATTGCACAAAAAGAGTTGGATTGTCTTCAGCCCAACCCCGCCGAATAACAACGCTATTGTACATAAATGTGTTGCAAGGATTAATATATAGAGTGAAAGAGTCAAAACCACACTGATGGACTAATGAGGAAGATCGACATGCTCATCACCTTGGAGCGCAATGAACGGTGGGGCAGCCAACACCAAAGTATCGCGCGCATACACCACACGCAGCCTCTCCACCATATCGGCAAGAAAAGCCGCGAGCTTTCGTGACAGTGGCACTGTTGGATCCGGCCACCAGTACGGGCAGGCCACGCTGAAGGATTCCAAGAATAGCGAAAAACAGATTTCTCCAGAAGGGATGGTAGAAATGCGCCCCTGAAGCAACTGAAGCATATTCAGAACCTCTTGTGAGGAGATAAAGCGCACTCTTCGTCGGTACCCACCACCATCGTCATACTCGTCGTCGCTATCGTCGTTGTTGTCATTATCGTTGTCGTCGCCCGGTCGGAGGAAGCCGCAGTCGGCAAAAAGTTTCAAATACGTCACATGCGTAAGGCGTGCCGTGAAGCGACCACATCCCTGGAAAGAACGCGACCGGGCCCGCATACTGCCGCTCAACTGAAGCTTCATGTAAAAGAAGAACACACGTGCCAGGTCGTGCTGAAAATACTCCACGACGCGCTGCGGCTCTGGCTCGTAGAACAACAGCGTGATGGGTGCAACGCCTTTCATAACAGGCATTTGCAGGCCGCTCAGAAACCGATCTGTAGACTCAAACAGACTTACAGCATGTCGGGTCGTTGCCATGCGCACCAGCATCTCCGTGAATTGCGCCGGCTTCACAAGGCGAATATCGACCTCTTCCTGAGCTACTTCCTCCAGTGATGTGCTCTTTTCATCCTTCATGTTGGCGCGCAGCGTTGCTGCCAGTTGGGGTGATACAACCGTGTCAAAGATATGTGCCACCGCCAACGGCGTCAGAGGATCGATCATCACTCGGCTCTCTTCAACAAAGCGCCAGAACTGCACCTCGTACATACGATGGGCGTCGGCGCAGCCGAAATGGTGGAAGAGAGTCGTGATGAGTCGAACGTGTTTCCACAAGATGCTCTTTAGGGCCCCACGAACAATTGTCTTCCATGCCTGCGCACTTGGTGACTTGAACTTCACTCGGAGGTCCTCCATGCTTTTTAGACTCAGGTGAACGAACGACTGGCCTGCTTTAGACGTCACTACGTAGACAGGCTGGCCATTACTGCGCTCTCGCACAAGATAAGCGGCCTCTCGGGCGATGGCGGCACTAGAGTTTTGCAGTTTCTTCTCATGCTCAACACCATGTTGTAGTTGTTCTTCCCATTGCTGAAGCTCCGTACACCACGCGCGCACTTTCCGCTTGAGAATTTCTTCATTCTGTGGAATGCTACTGACGTCATCGTCATCATCGTGGTGGCAGTCTTCACCAGCGGCGGCAGCTATAGTAGTAGCAGTGGAGTCTTTCTCCTGAAACGGCAACATGCCATGAAAAAAGTCATATGCTTTGTTCGCAGATGTTGTCCGCTTATTATCGACGTGATTAGCGAATATCTCGGCGAGTGACACTGTCATCTTGTCCTCGCGGTGCTGGGTGAAGTCGTCCGGCTTCAGGACCAGGGCAAGTTGCGTGTTCGAGACCACTCTACACATCCAATTCATTCGCTCTACAAAGGAGCGCGGCAATGGTGGAATCTTTCCCTGCGTATCTGCAAAGACGTGGCGCATTATATGGCAGTACGCCTCACCATTAGCAAAGTCCTCTGCGAAGTTTGACACATGCAAAGGCTTTTTTGTCCGCTGCTGCGCCAAGATATGGTTGCACCATTTGAGGAGGAATACATGTCCCTGTTGGGAATTCTCACCACCTCCATCGGACACGGAATCGGCCATATCTAGCGTGTACTCTTCGATAGCTTGGTCGACCCAACCCGCAGTGACATCTTCCGCGGGAAAGCGGGTGCCCATCGCCTTCTTCAACATCCGCCGCTGCCCTTGCACGAGCGTAAGCACCTCCCGCATACGTGCGGCCATACGCTCTTGGTGCTCCTTCTCTCTGAGCACAAGTGTCTCGCTGAGCTCTTCCACTCGTCGCCGAAGCGCTTCACGTTCTTCGATCACGGTCCGAAGCTCCGCTTGCACCTGCCCGCAGTTCAACTGCAGCTTGTCTGCGCGGAAGCACTGCATCTGGAACTGATTCTTTGCGCTTTCCAGCTGAAAAGCTGCCTGGTGCAGACGCTCAGTAAGGTATTCTGTACGAGATGTCTCCACAGCAGCTCTCCACCGAAAGAACGCAGCCTGCATACAAGAAGAGCGCACAGTTTTATTATGTCGCCGTATAACATTGCGGCGAAGCATCGCATCTACACGTCGCTTCCGCGCGAGCGCATGCCACGCCCTAAAAGCCTTCCGCTTCGTTTCCACTCGAACGTACTCGAGAATAACAACGGAAAGTCGTTTCAATTCTATATTGGTCGTCAGAGACCGTTGCAGACGCTCCCTGAGGTCTTCCACTTTGGTGTGGCTCACACTGAGCTCCTGCATGTAGGTTGTATGCGAGAAGTATGGGTTATCATGGATTAAAGCGCGGTCCATCACAACAGCTTGCAGCGCTGATGGCGCGTAGTCCAGTCTCCGCTCGTCGTAGTTGCAGTATATGGCGGGGAACACGGCTCCCACAAGGATTTCCATTACTTGCCTGTGAGATGAGTTACAGAGAAGCTTCATTGCCCACGTCGCCGCCGCAGCACGGGTCTGCAACGTGATGCCATCCTGCACGGCGAGATCTCGCATCATCGTCTCTACAAAAAGGTCTACCGAATTGAATTGCTGGTAGCGCTGCACGTACTTCAAAAGCAACTTTGCATAGCGATGACGTTCCACCTTGTTGTCTGTATCTACAGATGCATTCTCAGCGGTCTCTCGGCTCCGAACGCGAGCCGCATTACCAGCTTGACTTGTGGGCACCAGCGCAGGCAAGGATGTCCCCTGACGACGCTTTGCCAACGGCATACCACAGCAACTACTATTTCTCCAAGGCCCAAACCAGAGACAACAGGAAGTGGCTGAAGGACAACTCGAAGAAACCATAAAAACAGGTCTTGAACCCACAACAACAGCAACAGCTGTAGCAGAAGCAGCTTACACATCACCTTGTGTCACGAAAAGAAGGGACAATTCCCCTTTCTTTCTCATTCTGTACATCTTCACGGACACACCAACAAACGCATACATACGCCAGTTGGGGGCGTTGCGACGTCAGAAGTGTGTTTACGGCATTACCTCCATTTTACTCCCAGCTAGCTCTTGCTGCAGCTTCTCCCGTTCATAAGAAGCGAACGTGAGATCGCACCTTAACCTCAGGGGAGCCCTGCTTGCCTTCATCTCTTGAAGACCTCGTATCAAATCTCTAATACTCCCCTTTGCGGCATCGACTAGCGATGCACCGCCCTCATCAACAAGCCCAGTTGGTGATGACGAAGGAGAAACAACTTGCAGCTTCTCAGAAGCAACCTCCTCTTTGGTCGGCTGATTGATCACCGTCTTCTTCACCCTTTCCCTGTTGGCTACCTGATGCCGTAAATGACTCTTCACAGTCGATGACTCCTGTGGCTTCTCTTTGGTTTTATTTGTTGCACGTTCATCGTTTACAGCCTCTTTTGTTTCCCCATTGCCACCCGTTCCACGACGTGAGGGCAACTTCTCAGGCAAAGATTCCTCTGACTTTAGAGCATTTTCCTTCGATGCCTGCCCATTGGTTACGATTTCTGTTGTCTTATCATTTCCACTATGCTGGCAGTGTGAGGGTATTTTCACAGGTGGGGATTCCTGCGACTGTTCCTCCGTGCCGGTCTCTGGTGGTGTATGGCGCAAAGGTTTTGCAGTCGACACACACCGCGGCGCCTCCCTCACGCTCTTCGTTTCTGGAGGTGAATTGTTGGCTGACAGCGGCGGCAATGCCGAGGTTGTGGGGGCATCAGACGCGGAACTACACGACTGCGGTGGGACTGATGGCGCGTGAGACGCGTTAATCTCAGGTGCGAAGACATGCAACAGCACAGAGGGCGCTGAAAAGGCCAAAGGACTAGGGGGACGCGAGCAAAAACGACGCTCGCGCACGTTGCGGAGGGTGGCACTCAACTCTGGGAGCTCACTGTCGTCAATGTCTTTCCGTTTAAGTGACTTGAGAGTAACTTGCACCTTCTTCAACTCGGACAGCGTCATGTCGATCTCCGCAGCCCTTGGAGAGGAAGAACCACTCTCACCCGGACGCTGTGGTGCCGCGGGGATATCGGATTTGCCATGCTGGCGCGTTCTCCTGCGAGTACCGCCACACCACGCGGTAGGTTCCGTGCTCAGCAACTCTTTCGGTTTACTGGCCGCTTCCAGTGCCACCGTCTTCAGCGCAACGAGTCGGTTGAATGCGTCCTTGGCTCTCGGGTAAGGATTCTTGTCCGGATGCACGAGGAGCGTCCAGCGCTGGTACGCTTTATTGATGTCTGCAGGGGCCAAATCTGCTCCAAACAAAGCCTCTGGTGTGATGGTTGGTTCTAAAAGCGCCTCTACAACATCTGCATACCTATGTGGCTGTGGGACCACAGAGGGGTCGGCCAGCACTCGACATATACGCGCCATCTTCACGTACCGCGGATGCAGCACCATCAGATTGCAATAGAAGGTTGCCGCAGCCTTCATGTCACCGCTGCTGAAGTATTGCTCAGCAACAGCCTCCATATCCCTACCACCTTTGCCCAAGCCTAAGCTATATAAAAAAAAAACCCGAATTGAACAAAACAATAGGCACAACAAGAAGTGTGTGATATGAGAATATTTCATGACAAAACAAGACTTCACCATGGGGGTATACGTAGTCGTGGCGCTTATTTGCGCCACCACCATGAAAGCGGTAAACACCAACCACACAACCTAATAACAGAAAGAACTGTGTCTGCATCCTTCCCAAATATCGACTCCACACAACAAGATCCAAACAACAACGAAAGTACGCTTCTCGGTACTCTCTTCTTCCCGCGTCATGGATTCCACCCACCGTCAGAGCAAAAAAAAAGAAAGACTCATGCTCCACACACCACCAAAAGTAATTTTTTCGTGGAGTATTCCCCTCCCATTCCGCCAATCTGGCACCTCCACAACCCGATTCTAAAACCACTTGCTGGTACGATCAAACTGCTTGCGCAGCGCGGCGGCGTCCTGTGAGTCTTTCCCATATCGTGTGCCGTCCTTCCTCATGACACCCACGACGATAAACGGATGTGCATTCGGAGATCGCACCCCATCGCCCAAGCGAACTTCAAAGACAGGATACTCGCACATACTCTGCCATTCCGCCTCCACATCTGCTCGTTCACGGTATTCGCACCTATATGTAATTTGAAGCCAATCCTCTTGCGACATTTGCCCCATGTAGCAGTTCACTAATTGGAAAGAATCCAGCTCGATCTGGTACGTGTTAGCGACCTCGCGCAGCTTGAGGGACCTCCAACTCTTCTTTGCAAATTCCTCATTCATTCCAGATCGGATCTCTTTAGATATGCGGCTCGCCTCTCCATGAGTCGTAATACGTTGCAAAACTTTGAGGTCTTCTGGGTTGCGGGAATGCGAAATCACCTTGAACTGAACAAACAGCGTTTTGAGTTCCTCTGGCTTGAAGTTCGGGCGGCGCTCGACAAGTTTACGCATCGTCATGAAGCGTCGGAATGCTTTCTTGAGGCCCATTACCGACGTATAGCGAATCGAAGTTATGTCAGGATCCATAATGCAGTCCATTGATGCGAAGCGCATCTGCTTGGACCACTGCTCCTTGTCAAAATCGTAGTCCGTGCGCTTCTGCGATACCGCCTGGTTCTCCGATTCTAGCCGCGTCTGGACGCTGCGGTTCATGTTGAAGAGCCGCCGCTGCGGCGCCAGAGGCCGAGGGCACGACACACCACATGCGATCAAAGACCCCGCATGCAGCCTGCGATACATACGTAACTCTCTTCCAGAGCAAGGGGGGAGTGAAGAAAGAAAGAGCCGAAACCAGAAAAAGGACGTGATTAGGAAAAAAAACCCGCAAAAAAAATGTGTCTCACGACTTTAAGGTTAGTTTGCTCTCACGACAAAAGGGGACAAAAATCGGGAAGAGGCATATGAACTGTGGATAAAGCACCTTCGACACGTTCCTGCGTACACTATTGCATTCACCCCACCCCCCACGCAGCGAAACACCAATATCAAGACATAGACAAAGAAACAAACTGCCGTAAGAAGTGGGGGACATAGTTTTTACATAAGAAGATGCCGAGAGATGGTCTAAGCAAAAGAATGTAAAAGATTGTTGCGGCACGTGACCTTTGGTGACTTCCTATACTGAATATTTAGGCATCGCCACACATATTGAGCAAGAAGTTTTGTTGCAATAATAATAATAGTAGTAGTAGTAGTAGTAGTAAAGAAAAAAGGGAACTAGGTCAAAGACCCAGTATAACTTGAACCACACCATCAATGGTGAGATACCCGCCTAGTCTCGAGACACATCAAGGAGGTGTTGCGTGAGATGATCCGACTAGGCTTCTTAACAAGATGCACCCAGCTTGGCAGCAATGACAAACTCTCCTCTGCCACGGAAGTATGGCTCAAGTCTAGTTCCTTTAGATTTGACATCACTGCTAGTGCAGCGACGGAAAATATGTAGAAACACCCACCAAGGTGCAGAATACTCAGTGATTCGCAACGCGAAAGACCAACAATGCCATCATCATCAACGTTCGTACCACGAAGGTCAAGCACCTGTAGCCTCTGCAGGGCGCCCAGAGCGTTGACATTGTGGATGTCCCAGCAGCGAGAGACGTTTAAATACTCCAAGGCACTGCAGCACGAGATACCTTCGATGCTCTCATCGCGCACCCCACACCAGGTTGCGTTGAGCCATTGCAGATTCTTCAACTCACGGAGCGGGTTCAGAGAAGTCACGAGAATACACCCCGAAATGTCCAGGTGGAGCAGCCCCGCAGCAGTGCTGAGCACAGAAATCGCGCGATCCGTCACACCGGAGTCGCGCACCTTCACAACGCGGAGGTGCTCCATGCCCTTTAAGAAGGGGATGGCGCAGATGAAGGCGCACCCCGAGAGATCCACCTCCTCCAGCGCGCGACACGCTGCGAGGGCACACAGGCCGTCGTCCGTCATTCCAGTCATCGACAAATCGAGACTCTTGAGGGAATGCAAATGACACAGCGACTCCACCCTTGTAAGACCGCGACAGGAGCGCAGCCACAGACGTTCTAAGGTAACACAAGAGGCAAGGGGATTGAGGGTTTTATTAAGCACACTGGCCTCTGGCAAGAATAGCCAGCGAAGACCACTCAAATCCTTAACGTCGGTAAGATCCGCAATAAAGCTGCGCCACGCGAAGGAGAGAGCTGCTAGTTTGCCTTTGTTAGCATTTGCCAGACGCCGGATCCACCATAGTGTGCACTTCAGATTCGACACGTGACCACACCAGGCACCATTCTGCAGCGACCATTCCTCCCACTCACGGGGCTTCTTTCCTCCACAGAGCGCCACTGCACTCATGAGCAACGATTCACAATGGATGTGCTCGACCACCTGCCTGATAGTGGGGGACGCTATGAGGAAGGCCAATGGCTGTGACGGCAGAAACCTAGCGATGTCATCAAGTACCCCATGATGGAGAAATGTGCGTGGCCTATACTTAGTTTCATGCATTATTGTTTCGGCAAGTCCTGCGACCACTTCCTAGAAACACAAGAATGAGAAAGGACACACACCTCAATAAACCAAAAAAAAAAGATGAAATCAATCATTCACAGCGACACACTAGACCCAAGAAGAACAAGAGGAGATTGTCACACCCTTCCGTATTTAGTTCCACTGAACAACATGTAACATATATGAGCAGATCGAGAAAGAGAGCCTGAACGTCTCTTCCCAATAGTCCACCTTCCGGAGGCCATAGCTTACTATCACTCCACGCGATAGTCTCCCTTACTGCACAAATTGCTCCAACAAGTCGTCGGCTCAGCTATACAGTTCTAATGCGCCTGACTACACTGAATAATGTGCAATTAAATGGGCCTACAATGCATCTTCCCTCACCACCACGGCAAAATAGCACAATAGAGACCACACATTCCCAGACAGCTTCCCACAACACTAACCACACTGCAAAATAGACAAAAACGGCAACAGAAAAACCAAGCACGAGAAGGGAGCATAATGTTCCATGGCTGGCAAAGATCTTACATTTGCGACAGCGATGGTCAAATCAGACACCATTTTCTCCACAAGTACAGTAATAGCTGGCTCTGAGCGGCACGTAATGTGTCATGTAATGTTGCACGATACAACACCACCGTCCAGCATTGACGAAGTGGTGTACCAGGAACTCTGTGGACAGGCCCACGGTTCTCTGGTCCACGTGTTTCACAACAATATGCCACGGTTAAACAACATGCTGAGCGTGCGAGAGAGCTGCACACTCCCGGGAAGGGGATGCTCCCGACTGTTGCCATACCAATGAGGACAGTACCAGGATGTGACATCAAATCCCTTGGCTTCCTGTTCATCCACCAGGGTCACAGAAGGCTATGTATTGCCCGCACCACCCTCACTGGCACAGACACAACAAAAAAAAAACGTGCCCTTCCCCACCAAGATGCTTAGCACGAGAAAGCCACACTGTTGACCCACTTCATGAGATCTCCAATCCCGTGCCCATTCCAGGAATCCACACACAGAACTTGTGTTGCCTCGTAACTGGCCGTTGGAATGAAGAATTCTAACTCTCCCTCGGTCATGGCATTCCTCGCAGCCACCTTATTCAGCACCACCACTGCGGGCCACTCTCGGCAGAGCCCGTCAAAACACTTTAATCTTTGAAACAGGACAGATGCCAGGGGAAGCAAATGAGGGGCCAACGCGTCCACCACAAACATCAACGCACATCTTTGGTCATTCTTGTCTTTTGCCAAACCCAACCGCGACCGAATGAACTTTTCCCACACAGGGGACATTTCCCCACCAAGTTCACATAGCTCGACTGTGCAGAAGACGTTCTTCTTCTGCGGTGCATGAACGATTAAGGAATGAATCTCCTGTCCTTTTGTGGGGACATCATGGGCAGGCTGGGTCATCAGGGTACCGTTCTCACACATACAGCGAAGCTGGCGCAAAAGGCCCGTTTTCCCCGAAGCTGACGGACCGAGTACGTACATATTTAGTGAGTTCGACATTGCTTAGCTCCATGAGGAAGAGAGTCAGGAAACAAACCATGCCATCAGTGCAGGGTGTGAAGGGTGCACAAGACCACGTCACAGCACAGGTGTTATCTAAGCAACAAATAGTATTCCTTCGTCTCCTTTACATCGTGGCATAGGCAGAATTCCTCCGCCGTGGGCGAGGAGAAATATAATTGAATGGAAGGCTAAATGCATTATCAACCACATTCTGTAATTTATCCCCTTCGCGTCGCAGCGCCATTACCCTGTGAGATGCAGGAGAATGGCTCGCGACAGCAGCGACCTTCACACCAGGGACACATCGCAGCGCTGATGAGCGTGGAACCTCATTGAGACGCCTTGCAAACCCTTCTTTCACTGCCAAACATTCAGGCAACATTATTTCACCAGCACCCCGGCCTTCTTTCGTCTGACTTACTACGTCAATTGACTGTTCACCACCAGTCGGCTTCTTCTCCGGCACGACTCCTTCACTACAATATTGGACCCGGCCCTTTTCGTCAAGTGTGAAGCAGGAGTGCGGGTGGTGAGAATTCCGCGACGCAACGTTAGGTGGTGCTCTCATAGCAGAGTGAGCTGCAACATCATATTGGTGCGTATTCTGCCCAGTTGCCATCACACCGAAACGCAGACTTGTCATCTGCATGGTAAGGGTTGAGAGTACCTGAGTGTGCACTTTTACTACCTGACCCACATCGGCGTCAGGGGGATGACAATAGTGGTCTTCATTGTACAAAGACGCAACCTCATTCCTCTGATTATGTGCATGCTTCTTAACACGACGCAAAGCTTCCTCCTGTGCCTTATTTACAACGCGCTGAGTGTAACAATGTGTACGCGGGCCGTCAAGGTGGGCCATTGCCGCCCCAATAACAACCGTTTCGCAATCTTGCAATGAACCCATTATGGCGCTGCGCGTCACACTAAATATGAGAGCGCCTGTGGCGGCATACAGTCCATGTTTTAAAGGTCTCTGTGCTATACACTCCGCAAAAGCCACTTGATCACCACAGGAAACAGGTGTCTTTACAACCTCAGAAGTAATGGGGGTCTCCCCACCACACATCTCACTTGCATAATACGTAGCCCCTACCAAGACGACAATGGCTTCTTGTGGGATTTTTTTAGGGACCAGTATACATTCACCAGGGCGTACAACACGCATCTGCATCCGTTTTTCTATCGCAGCGATTACGGACTCGTGAAGGTGTGAGAATAGAGGGACCTTCCGCAGATTCACCCGACAAACTCTCAATTTTATTGTCTTTTGGGCTATTTCCGCACACCGCTTCCACTCGCTTTCGGTTATAGTTTCCAAAACTGCAGTCATTTTAATACTCCACAGCTGACAAAAGCTTGTAGCAGTGGCAGGACGCCTTTCACCGTAAAAATGCGGTATATCATACGGTACAAAACTCTCCAAACCAAAGGAGCTACCACGGGACACAATTTCATTCCATGGACTACCTCGAATTCCCCCAACACGCACCCCCCCCGACTGGAGAAAGAATATAGTGTCTGACGTGAAAACGTCCCTGCAGAAGGTCTCTTGTGCACATGCAACCGCAGGAAAAAGGCGGAGCCACAAAATGCTCTGAGTTGATGCGTCCAAGCCGCGCAGCAGAGGATTCTGAAGAAGAGCAAACCGTAGTGGGGGCTTTTCGTTCGCTCGAAGCATCTGTCCCTTCACAATATCTTTGGCAGCTGCCACAGTTGCTTCAAGGGACACATCGCACTTTTTTTGAATCCTCATGATGGTATCGAAAGGTATGCGGAAGACAGTAGCAGCACTCTCGCAACGAATCGTCCTGCGGTAGGATACTCCCAAGAACAAGCGCTCCCCTGCAGCTAATTGACCCGCCCTGAAGGTCATGAAATCATCGGAGTGGTTTTCTGTCGTGGGGATGTACGCATGAACTCTGCAACTGGTGCTTCTAGAAGAAGAGACACTGGTATCTGGCTCTGGATGGCCAACGATTAGTTTCTCGCTTTTGCTTGGGACCTCTGCGAACCTCCCTAAAGCGATCCAAAACAACGATGAGGATTTGAGTGGCTCCCCATTGTAGACGATCACCTCTCCTTTGCAATACACCTCCTGCACCGTCCCGTGAAGAAGATCCGACAGAGCCGATAGTGACCAAGTGGAGAACAACGGGCACAAGCGTAGCTTGCCAGGGTCCAACTGCATCGCCCCCTGTACTGCCCCGCGTCTACGAATGCGCCTCGTCGCAACGTGGAGCCGGAGGCGCAGCCTGGCCATCACCATGGGGCTCACAGACATGAGTCGCCTTTCCTTTATTGCATCTCCCGCTACAACCAATGGACTCATACTATTTATATATTGAACAGATACAGAGCAGTACCAATGAGGATACCAGAACCAGAACGCAGAAAAGCATAGACCAAAAATGCACTCATCGAATGACACAACATCTTTTTCTTTTTTGGGTGTCTACAGCGACTTCCTTTGTAAGTGCTCAACAACACCTTGAAGAGCTTTTGCAAAATTCTTCTCGCCTTCACACCATCGATCAATCTCTACAGCCAGTCGCTGCTTGAGCTTTAGGACGTTTTCCCTGAGAGAATTGAAATTGGTTCGTCATAGTGTTTGCCGCTCTCACGGATAGAACTCTCGTTTTTGCTGTCGGCATTCTCCCTCTTTGCTTCAAATAATTTTTTCCACCGTTCTTCTTCTTCCGCCATTTTGCTGAGAAACTCCGTTGTTGTTTCAGTGAGCTTTGCCCTCAGCAGACGGTCCCGATCCTCGCGTTCCACGCACTCGCTTCGCAGAGCGGCCTGAAGCTCGCCTATTCCCTCCACGACAAACGTCTGAAGCTCTTGTGTCAGCCGAATGTTCTTTTCGCGTTCTAAACGCAACTCCCCCGTCAGTTTCGTGGCCTTGGCAGAAAGTTGTTCTACAGTAGTCTGCAAAGACATCATCCGGGCATTCAGCTCTTCCTTTATTCTGTGCTCCATTATACGGGCGGCATCATCAATATATTTCTGCAGCTGATTATCGTGTTCCGTCCGTCTCTTCGCTTCCGTTAAAAGCAATCCTTCCAACACGGCTGTCTGCTCACGCAGCGCGAACAGCCGAGCTTCGCACGACGCCAGAATAGATGTGAAGGCCGGCTCCTCAACAGGTGCACCGGCATCTTCGGGACAACTGCTCCTCATCACGTCCACACCAACGCATACCGTCAACCTCCATATAAACAAAGACGAATCGGCAAGACGCGAAAAATAAAAAACACACACAGACTAATGCCGTTAGGTATGCATGTGAGCGCGCACAGCAGAAGACAACCATAGTGGGGTCCAGAGAGCCATGAGTGTAGAAAGCTCAAGGCTCAATACAGAAAATAAAAATACAGATTCTCCCGTGCGAATTGCAAGAAAAAAAAGCAATTACGCACACACACACACAGCCAAAAAAATGAAATATAAAAACAAAAGTACTGCCGTTTTTTTTTGGGGGGGGAGGGGGGCGGCTTATTAGAGATGAGGTCGAAAATACATCACTTCCACGACTCGCTTCTCACAGTATCATCGTAACGGATAATTTTTGATACGGCTGGCGCACCACCCTCAAGCCGGCTTGCTTTGAGTGACAACCACAAAAGTCGTCGTTCATCATCTTCCTCACTGTCAACACAGTCAAACAGTTCTTCAGGTGGTACAGCCCGTGATGTTTGCTCGTTCATAATACATTTAAACAGCGCCAGCTTTCTCACCTGTGTATTCAAAATAACAGTGTCCTCAAATGCAGATGCGAGTCGATAAACAACAACTGGTTTTGTCTGATTACGCCGGTACGCTCGCGCAATGGCTTGCGTTTCCACTTGTGGATTCCACCAGCTATCCCACATAACGACGTGATTGGCGGCAGTGAAATCGAGGCCATAGGCGCCAATCTGAGTCGACAAAACAAGACATGTAATGGTTTCATCTTCTCTGAATTTTTCTATCGTTCTTCGCCGTCGATCGTGACAGTCTCTCCCACGGATAGTAGAGGAGACGATGTCGAAGGAAGTTAAAGTCCGAGAAATGAAGTCCTGTGATCCGACATATTGAGAAAATATAATGGCCTTTTCCTTCTTTTCACGTATGGCGTGTAGAATTGAAATGAGTACCGTCAGCTTTCCACTGAGACCAACAAATTCAACTAAGTGCCCAGAGTTTACCAATGACAGACAGTCATCCATCAGCGCCGTATCGTCGTCGCTAAGTGTATATGACTGTGTAGCATCTTCATTTTCCTTTTCTTCATCCTCCTCCACAATCTCCGCCGCCGATCTATGTGTTCCAGTGAGAGACTTGTACAATCCCGATATGAAACCCAAGAAACACAGTGGATGCGTCGAGAGATGGTAGGGGCGATGCTCCGATGCCTTTAGTACAGTGAATCCAACAGTTTCATTGATATTGAGATGATCCTCGAACATCTTTTGCTGAACACTTGAAAGCCCACAAATAATGATGTAATCAAAGAGCGGTGGGAGGTCTGCCTTCATGACGCTAAATACATATGAGCTCATCCAATCCTGAATGTAACGTTGAGCAGAGACAGCGGCGCTAAATGCAGAGTTATCCCCATTTATGTACCGATTGATAGAACCTGCCAATTCAGTAAAGACACGCGGTGGCAAAACCGAATGGACATCACTGTTTATCCACCCTATAAGTCGGTATAATTCTTCCGCATTGTTCTGCACAGGTGTTCCAGAGAGAATCACACGTGCCGAACATTTTGTACCGTCCAAAATGTCCTTCAGTTTGTTTCCCTTCGAAGACACACGATGACCTTCATCCACAATCATGAGACTAGGACGGAATCCAGTGAGTTTCCTTAAAAATGTTTTGACGTACTCGGGGTTTATGACAAAAACATGACTGGTTCGCGGTACCTCCCCACTCATTTGTTGTTCGTATCGCTTCAGTGCAACTTCAAATGACGCGGAATCTGTTCCATCGGATACCAGAAACTCCGGAATCACAAGACCATATTGCTCCCACTTTTGTTTCTCACTTATCCAATGTGTAAGAACGGTTTTTGGTGCCAAGATAAGTATGTCAGATGGGCTCGACTGACAAAGATATGAAAAGCACAGGGCCAAAGAAACCAATGTTTTGCCAAGTCCCATCGTCAATGCAAGGACACATCCGTTGCCTTTACTCAGGCGATCCACGATAAATCCAAGGGCTGACTGCTGAATCGGAGACAGCACACTCACCAGTTTCCACGGCACATACAAAGGAGGGAGCTTAGGATCGGTTTTGTTCAAATTAACAACACTCTGCCTGCTCTTTTCGAGAAGAAGTTGCTTCGCAAGATCTCGGTTGATTCGCCTACGCCGCTCCATCTCACATTGTTGGGATGCCAGACCAGTACGCATATAACAGACGACACTCACACGCTTCCAACAGTAGTCAAAGTTGTGTACCTCGGTATTCCCATGCTCCAGGGAAGTATCAAAGAAAAGAACATCGCCTGTTTCAATTCGAAAGGCTTTACCTAGTTTTTTAATGGCCAAATGACAGCCATCAAAGATCCCGTCTATCACGCACAATGCAGCCAACCCACTTCGAAAGTCCCCACTATCCGTGTGCACGGCTGTCCGAAAGTTTCGGTTCACTGTAACGGTACTAAACACTGTGTTAAACAGCTGGTAGTGCTGTGGAATAGCGATGCGCTGAAGTTTGTAATGCGTCGGTGCACACTCGCTGTACAACCTATTTAGTGCAACGAGGAAATTCTCACAAGGATCAGCAATAATGCTCCAGTTCTTTCGTGTGAACTCTGTTTCGCGGCACTTGCGCTGGGTAGGATTGTTGAGATAGTCGTAGTAACCTACAATGCCTGTCTCCGGGTTCGTCTTGCCACCGTTCGTTGCCTTGCGCAGATTTTTTGTCGTCGCAGCCGCCTCCAAGGCCACTGCGGCTCTCTTGCATATTTCTTTTTTTATACCACCCCGCACAAATATGGCCTGCACACGCTCCCCTGATTCGTCGTAAAAAATACCACTCTCTGTTACCACCTCGAAATCTTTCTCCAAGAGGAACTCGCCAACTGGACCAGACGTGTTGTCAACAGTTTCTTGCCCAGTCAGATCTACGTCCATGGCGCCTTCTTCTTCATCATCATGACGGCCATCATTGCCGTCGTTTCCGTTACCGTCGGTGCTCGGCTCGCTATTACCGCTCTCAATGGCATCAGGGCTGAAAGGGTTGTTGCTTGTAGATCTCTCTGGACTTCCGTCCCCCAACTCCTCCTCAACCACCCAAGGTTGGGTATGCTGCAGTGAGCCGGATTGAAACATTCTTCGCAGCCTTTCACAGACGTCCTGAACAGGACTGATGTGCAAAAGTGGCACGATGACGTAAGCTTTGTGATACTCTTCCTCCGAGGCAGTGACAAGCTCCCCACAGATATGCACTATTCGAAGAATGTAGTCAGCCGGGTTATAGAGGAGCCGACAGGGCATCCGAACGACAGAATCCCTCATCAAGAAGTTGTGGGTATTTATCCGATGGCGCACTATTAGGCGCTCCTCGCGCGTCCGAGCTTTACAGTAGTCAGCACAAAAGTCAAAGAGTTCAGAAGCACTTACAGGAAGGGGTGGGAGAATAGTAATCCCACCGTTTGGAACACTCGCTAGTTTCATTCCGTATTTTTTAACTTCGTCAACGATGGCGTCAAGCTCCCCCAAGAACGCTGAGGGAGCGATTATGGCTGGCTCTCCGGTAACCCACACGGTCTGCAGTACCGCCTGCAAGGTTTGAGCGTCGACATGTGCATGAACTGGCATAGGGCCTGATAGACTTCCTACAATATGCAGATCCCCACCCTCGGAGAAAAAAAGAAGAAAAAAATGGGAAATAAAACAATGACACAGAGCAGCAATTGGTCCCCAAAACAACAATACAAACGGAACAATGGGTATACGATCTGGAATAACACAAGGGAAGGCACCCATTCCGCCCAGAGAGACACAGACGCACACCGTATCCCATTTGAAATCACAAAGAAGCAGCCAGTGTGCCAACAAAAAAAAAACACATTTACCACATGTGCTTGATATCTAATTCCATGAAGCAATGCTTTGCAATTCTTCCTCATTTACAGTTTTCCTCAACATGCAGCACCACCACATGCTCGCAGCCTCTTACCATGATCACAATTTATCCACATCTCCAAAACGCTTTTTCACCCTCAATTCGAATTTCTGCTTCAGACCCTCGTCAACAAATGCATTGCGCCACAGTCATCCCTCCAAAGAAACACTCGTTTTAGAGTGGTGCCAGCCGTGTAGAAATCATACACAACCATTCACTGTCCACATGGAGGGCTTGCAGAGAGATTTTGGGAGAAGAAAGTCAAAGCTGTCACACTGCTGCTCTACAGGATCCTAATGAAGCGCAAAAACAGATCTTGCGGAAATATCCTTGACTGTGTACAGATTTATACGCAGCTTGTGGTGGTGAGACGGAATCTCCTGAGTACTTCGTGACTACATACCAACAACAAACATTCGAGGTCTTTTTTTTAAAAACACAACGTGACGCCACACCCCTACCACCATGCACGACATCAATGGGGAAATAATACACTGTTAGGCGCAGTATACCATAGTATATGCTGATCTTCCAATGGGCTTCATAGCGCTGCCATGGGTGCGGTGAATTCAACCTCAAGACGAGCCCCATAACGTCAGCTGTCCTTTATTCTCACCAAGAGAAAACGCATTATTGTTTTTTTCGCCTCGTTCAGATGCACAGCTCTGCAGCGTTAAGTCGTCCTTGACACATCCAAGTATTGAGACTCCAAGACACTATTACTGTACTTTCTCGATCCTTTGTTTCATGAAAAGCCACCACAGCGCTCAACGTACCCTTCACAGTGCACCCTGGAGGTGCTGTGCTCGTGTGTAAGCACAACTCCGACGCCCTGCTTATCCAATCACTTGACTGAGGCGTGTAAAGCTCATTTACTCATTTATGTCAGCCCTGTAATATTAGCTACCGAGCTTGAGCGACTGTTGTCTAATAGTTTTCTTTATATTTTCCGTGGTTTGCGAGCAATCGCCGTGCAGTTGTCAGCGGTCTCGAGTAATTGATTGGGAACGCTTGCATGAGGCACTGGGAGAAGTTGACCCGCCTTATCAGAGAGAGGCAAGTACAACCCTAGAGAACACAGTCCATGTGTCATAATTGCATTTTCTCGTTTATCCACTTCCCATGATTCTATCAGGACGAGGTCTTTACGCACAACACTTTCCTAAACCATAATTATACTCCTGCACGTTTCTAGACGCACTGTGGAATTTCAGTGTGCTACAGGGACGACATTTAGACTAGCAACCTCGTGTATATCATTTCATGAGGTCATAGTGGCAAGAATTCCAACATGTTCCTTTGTTTTATCGACAGATTGTCACAAAGCATTTTTAAACCCCCCGGCATTGGGTTCTTCTAATGCAATTTCTAGGGAGTAGAAGAAAAAGATGTTATTTATCATTGCGTGGCATTGTGTTAT